AATGACTCCTTGACACAGAAAAGTTTTTTAAGGGAGTTTCCAGCCACAGAAGATTGGACATTGGGAGAGGAAGACAAAGCCAGAAAAGATCATGATAATTATATTTGGGTACAAATTTTTAACCCCTTCCATCTCCCAATATTCAATATATATTTATGTGCATGTGAAAATARTTAACCAGAAGAATTTTTATTATTACTGCTATTTCAGCACTAGTTGGAAGTCTCAAAGCAAGGTGGCAGAGTAGGAGCAAATATCCCAAGTAGGAGGCAGGACTCACTAGTGGAAAGATGTTTTATGCTAGTGCACTTCAATGCTCTTAGGCGAAAAGCTGACTTGAAAACCATTGAGTTGGAAAAGATGAAAAACACAAAGCTGACCTGTATATTTTCCCCAAATCTTCGAAGTTTCTGTGCTGTGGGTTTTGTTTTTTTTTTTTTTTTTTTTTTTCAGCTAAAACGGTGAGGTTCCATTCTTCTAAAATATTGTCATGTGTCCACAAGGATAATTTGAAAGTAGTCTACGGACAACTGTACTCAAGTTGGTTCTTTTCCTGCAAATGATTTTACACATTTTCTGAAACCAGATTTTACTTCTCCTTTCCTTATTATCTGTCCAAAGGACCATTTTGAATTAACACCGCAGCCAGTAGTATGTGTTTGAAAGTAAATGTTCCATAGAAATGTGGAAAAAAAAATATTTATTAACTTCCCATAACAAGTGAATTGCCTTCGATCTGGGGGCTCATATCGCAGCCATTACACGAGATTAGAGAACAGTCTTAGCTGTGGGAAAAGACGGAGCCATCTGCAACCTAATCTGAGAAACAGAATTAAACACAATGGGAACATAGAATAACTGGTAAAAATTATTCTGCTTTATGGCTCGATGGAAGCAAATGTTGCACAACATGTTTTTGTTTTTATTTTTGCGATGCTTTACGCTTCAAATTAATTAAAGAATCTTCTAGAATGAGGTGCAATGTTGCTTTGGAAAATACTGCATTGCTGAGCTGTAATGGGCACCTCAGTATATAATAAGCCCACAAATTTTTACCTGTTACTGATGCTATATTATAAAAGATTTTTTAAAGGTCTTTATTTGTAATAGGCATTTTTTTTTCTTTATGGAAATTTACATTCATGGAAATTTAAGCATTTCGGTAAATATATATGTAAAGATCTGACTCCAGATTTTAAGATAAGCTGATTTCTAACTTAAAAATGGTATACACATACATCATATAGCTGAATTTCYGGATAAGAAATGAGCTTAATTTAGTAGCACAAGGGAAGACATCAAGTTAAAGTAGTGATTGACCTCTTTAAAGGACAGATATGCTAACAACTAAGAGTGGCATGGTACTTCGAAAACTGTTTGACCTGAAGTGTGGTAAGCATCTTCTGTTGCGTTGGTTCAAACGAAGAAGAAATAAAGCRTAGCTTTCATGAGAAGATCCTTTGCTCTTGTAAAGTATTGCAGAGCTCTTCATTTCTCTGCAATAGGGCACGTGTTGCATCACTTGAAGATCTGCTGTCAGAGTCATAGTAGCATCTTCTATTGCTTTTAAAATGGGCACACCAAAGAAATTCGTTAAGAAAAAATACGAAAGCTCCAGTTTGTGGGGTGGATTCACAGATGTCTGCTTACCTCASCTCGTTGTAATACCGCAGTAAAAAGAGGCTTGCACTGTAAATAATCAAGAGGAAAATGGATCCTCATAAGTATTTCAGCATGATTCATTCAAGCATATTTTTTAAGTGACTACCCATAATATTGTGTAAAGAAGCAGAAGAAGAGGGAAGGCCATTTGGTCTGAAATATGCCTAATGGAGTATATGTAAATCTGAAAGATTTGCACTGCCTTTGAATTAAAYGAATTTATGACTCCCTCTTTAGGAGCCACACTTTGTTTTTCTTGAGGTCAGGGTAAGGCATTTAATAATAYGTTCTGGATTTTATTTATTTATTTATTTTTATGAGTAGGACACGGAAAAAGGATTAGAAACTAGTATTGTTTGTTGGGTTACACTTTAAGACAATTTAAGTTGCATGTTTGATTTTGTGTATTATCAGTCCTAGATAAAACAAAATGAAATTCTATACCAAATATCCATTTATGATGGGAAAAGGTGTTGGGAGAAAGCTCTTAAACCCCATATCTCCAACCCAGCCCCATTCTATGTCTTCCAGATTAGAAACAGTCTCTATGGCAGCAGGCATTGAAGCTACTCCTCCGACTCCTCCTACTGTAAAGCAAGTGCTTTAACCTACAGTCATATTACCAATGTCGCATTTCATGAAGGATTTTGAAGAGCACTGTGGTTTCTCCATTTGCAGAAGGGAATGTGTATTTGGCATTCAGGATGGTTTTTAGAAAACTTCCATTTTTTAGAAAATTCTCATTAGAAAACATGATGCTTTTGGCATRACCCCTGTTGTGGAACCATTGGCTAGTAGGTGTAGGTGCTGTCTGCTCAGATGACCAGACATCRTGAACTCAGCTTGCAAACTATTGACAATATGGGCATTAACTTAATGTGTGATTTCTTTCCACTAAAGTTTTTGCCAAGGTTAAACTGGGAATTGCCATACTTGAGAGACTAAGGCCTTAAGGAAAATTCATCTCACAAGGTATTTGAAAGTTAGATATCTACATTTCAGCTCATTATTCTGAGCTCCCTTTGTTGACTAACAGTGAGGGCAAGTCAATGCGAGGTTAGTCACCCTCAGGCATACTTATTTTTTTCTGCTTACTGTGATGCAGAGCTTGGACTGCTGTTTTAGATTCAGATATCTATCCTGTTTAGATACCTAGGAGGAATCCTGTCTTCAATCTCATTAAGCCTCAGTACCCTTTGTGAAGAAGCTGATTTTATATTCTATTCTGTTTTGTTCTGTTAAGTTGTGTTTATTTGCTATTTTATTATTTAAAGGCTATCTTCAGCCATTTGTGATAACTGTAGCAGAATTAGGAATCAATACAATCCTGTTTTTCTCTCTTACTGATCTGGACCTCCTACCTGTAAGACGTATAATTGATTATTCCCACATTAGGACAACAAAATACAAGAGCAACAAAAACTACCATGGGACCACAGCCATAAGACAACAATTTAGGTAAACATAGGTATTTCCAGAATGAGAAGCGGAAATCTCAGCACTTACCAAACTGCAAGACTGTCTGATACCGCATCCTTCTCTGTCTCTACTTCCTGGGTACATTGTTTGAGAAGGGCTGCTATCATAATCTTTGAAAAATTTAAAATACTAGTAGCAGTTATGATAATATATCAAGTACACACTAGTTAAAGTGAAGATCCTCTCTTCCCTCTTCGTAGAAATGGCAGCACAAAACATAAATCTCTGAACGTTCTTGAATGGATGAATTACTTCTCAATCAATGTCTCTTGATAGCAGATCACCATTCAGCAGTGAAGTTAAAATGAGTGTGAGCTGCACTTGTGCTCCTTGCCAGCTAACAGTTGGCTTTTAATTCTCCTCCTTTATCTCCTTTTAGTGGTTATTATTTGAGTGCTTTCTAGGTAAAATAGTGACTTTTTTTCCCAAGGTATTAGGCTTCTGTGTTATACCACTGTAGGCCTCCATCAGTGCAGCAAAATTAGCTGCTGTTCCTGTATTGCTGATACTGCCGCTCCTGCTGTCTTCAGTGGACTAAATATGGAATTTATGTGTGAAGTGCCTAGCACTGTGCCTGCTTTGCATTTCATTATGTTGTTTACACGGGAATCAGGGCAGTTGTGTTATCCAGCTAGCACACGGCTCACTACTTCTGAATTGTAATTTCCATTTGATCACCAGTTCTGGAATTCACGAGTGGGAGATCTCTTGAGTTTCCTTTTGACCATCCCTAACCCTGATGTGTAATGCTCCAAAAAGCTATGAAATAACCTTACTCAAAACTGATGTGCAGGGATGAACAAGTTAATGTATGTCAGAGAGAGCATGCATTTTATAGATTGTTTTCTCGTAATCAATGTTACATGYGAATTTAGTCTAGCTACAAGCCCTGTGAAGATTCTCTTTTTATTATAAAAAGGTTGAGTTGTCATGCTTTTCTTGGGCTGTATTTCAGTGCTACTATCAAAAAATCAGTTACATATGGCATAGAGATCTGCTGCTTTTTGTCCATATTCTACAGGTGCTACTCCCATAATTGCAGGTCTTAGTGTTTACAGGGACTGTTTCTGAATAGAGTTCTGTCAGTAAATTTTTTAAGTATTTACCAGTTCCCATCTTAACCTACTAACTCCCGTCATGCAACTTTTCTTGCAAGGAAACTCTGAATCTATAGGGGCACAATGCAGGTCTCATTTTTGTTACTGAAATGGAAATAAAAGTATTCAGGAATTGAGGATGAGTACATGTCTTCAAAGTGGAGGTCCTGTAGGGTAAAGCTGCAAATCATATCATTTATGTAACAATATATACCTTGGTGGATTGTATAATCCTGGAATTAGAAAACAAATCTATGAGGACAGGCTATACTGTAGTGTCTACTCCTGCTGCGTGAGAGATAAAATTCTATGCTACACCTGAAGAATAAAACCTTTATTTATTTTTTTTTTCTAGTCAATTTTTTATTTCTATTTTTACCTATGTTTTCTCCATTCGCTCACTCATCAGTGTCTGGTGTAATTTATCTTCATTTACTTAACTTGTCTGAACAGTGGGAAGGGCATTGCTCATCCTAATCTCTTTGCCAATCTTTGTCTGACATCGTTCATTATTGTTTTCCTTTCATCATGCCGGCGTTTCTAGCTGACGTTATCTATCTTGGTTCACAAAGCATTTATCTGGCAAGCGTTGCCTAATACCATTAGTCTTGGTTCACTCTTGTCCACTTGGTCAATCGTTAGGTGTTGACAGAGCTCACTTGTGGTCCAGCTGTCATAATTTAGTGCTAACGAGAGTGAGAAGAACTTCCTTGAATGTTAGGAGAACTGGGAGGTCAGACACAAGGGAGGTCTCAGTAAGCATTGCTCTTACCGAATGCCGAGCTCCTGGGTATAATTTCAGTTTCTATGTTTGTCTTGTGGACATTTATACAATTAGCATACATAYGGATTCAGAAACTACAGTGTAAGTTATTGGTTGTGGCTTCTGTTTAACTTTCAGCACTTAAATTGTTCTGTTGAATCCTGTGTGAATATTTACATAGCTGTGGGATGAGAGCCTGGAATACAGAYACTTATTCAAAATGATGGTTCCTTTATTAATTGGGAAGTGTGTGAATGAAAAAGAAGAGAGATAAATGTGCCTTGTACCAAGTACATAAATGATAGATGCATTAATAATATGAACATTTTATTTTCTCTTTATCCTCTGTGTCACCTAAAATTTTTATGATAATGGTGGAAAGGTGTCTGTTAGTGGAATCTTGTTTCCAAGTGACAGAAGTATTTGCTTAGGAGTTGAGAGTCTAATCAAATATCAGTATTTGGAAGGTCTGTGTTTTTCTTTTAAACTAAGTTTTCTGCAAATCTTTCATCTTTTCTTCAGCACCCTGTCTTGTCCAACTGCTTTTCTTCTTTAGCTTCTCCATCTCTGAAAGTGCATGTTTTCAATACCTTGGAAGCAGCTGTGATTTAGGAGATCTTAAACAGGGCTGTATATCTTTCTGTACATTAAATTATTTTGCCTCAGTAATAGTGATGACTGTTGTTGGATGAGAAAGACCTGGAGGCCAGGTACATTTTAAAAATATCCTTGCTATACTACATAAAAGGTAAAAATTAAATAGACATAGTGTATATAAAATTATACAAATTGCATGTACAAGTCAAAACAACAGGGTACATGCTACTAGAACTCAGACAAAAGTAGGTCAGAGTCCTGACTTCCTTAATGATAACCAGAAAGATGCTGAGAGTGAATAAATTTGCTTTTCAAATGTAGAGCTGTTCCTCATTCAGGAAACAATTACATATATAGTTAATGAATATCTGAGCCTATCTTCTGTTACTTGAATGTTTTGAGATTAACAGTAATTTACTGGCTGGTATCTACTTTTCTCTGAGAAATAAAGTACCATAAAAGTGCTAAATGAACTGGCTTCAAAATCTTGGAACCATAAATTGTACTGTATGTTGAAAAACAAAGGCTGTGACTGACCTCCATTTCTTTAATGTTRCTCTCAAGATGAAGTTGATGACAATTCACATAGACTCAGCTGAGCTATTTTAACAACTCTGTGTAGCTTTAAACCATGACAAATAGTGGCAAATACTTCATCTTAGCTTCACTGCAAGATGAAATAAGTTTTCTTGAGTTCGATGTGGAATAATACAGAAAACAAAGGCATTCGTTGTAGAGCTCTAACATGTCTATCCTTTCAAAAGATGACATATGATAATTTGTTGGAGCTTCATGAACAAGGTATGCTCCTTGTAGTACTGTTACTYAGTGATGTGTGCAGTGTGTTAAACCAGCTGTACAAGTTTTAGAAACTTTTCTTTCTGAAGTATGCCAGAAATACAGATCATAATTCCCTCTTCACAAATGAAATCAGTTTTTGTAAATTGAAAATATATTACATACTTCTTTAAGACTTCTTCTTTAATATATTTGTAAGGATAAATAAGCAGACTTATGAAATTAAGACTATTAAGAAATGAAAAATAATGAATAGACTTCATTTTTCTTATAGACTTCCGACTTTCAAATTGTTTCTAGACAATTTAGAAAGCAAATTTCAGACACTAAAAAATTCATTTTTCCTTAAAGAATAAGATTTTTGAAAGGATTTGAGTATATGAATGTCTTCAAATCTTTATAACTCTTCTCTAAATTAATATAGGGGAACAGGATTTTTATTGAAACTTAAGAATGCACATTTATTTTCTAATATAGAATATTTCATCAGAAATGTGCAGTTATTCTCTTATGTTGGAACAAATGATGCACTGATTTTAGAGACTGAATCCAAATTCATGCAAATATTGAAAAATGAACCCATCTTCACATGTCTGTGCCAAGAACCATGTCTTTGAGTCATTCTTTCATTTGTGCCAGAACTGAAGCCCCTGATTACTTTTCCTACCAGCATGGTGAATAATGGAGAAACTAACAATGTATCTGMTGATAAAGAAATAGTTAAAATGTATCTTAATTCCTGGGATACTTGGAGATAACATTTTTATTTTCTRTATTTATATATAAAAGTAGATTTATTCTAGGGTTCTGCATGCAACAAGTGTATAGAAGATTAAATTTAAAAAACTGTATTTGCAGTTGAAAATGTCAAAAAATGATCAATATGTTGAACACAATTTCGCAGAATGTCTTTGGAGTCCATTAATCAGTACACTAGCCTTTTGTGACAGATGCAGTCATACGAGATCAAAAAAAAAGTTGTATTTGTTGATATTATATGTGCTTTACACTGGAAAGTGCACTAAAAGGTATTAAATAACAATAGCTCAATGCCTACAAAGCACAGTATCAGGAACTTTATAATATCAGGGCTCATCATGCAGTAAACTTGACTCTTTTACAAACTCATTTAGTTCCTACTTTGTTTAACAAACTTCTTTTCTCTAGGCAAGGCTGAGCTCATAGCTGTGAACCTGAGCCAATACTCAAGTGTAAGTCTCAGAAGGGACCTGGTCTGAGTTTCCTGATCTCGGAGGTCTTTGCAGGAAAAGATAACTGGAGAATAAATAGACAACCGCTGAGGAGGTAAAGTAGTTRTATATTAGTGAAGCATATATGGAGGCAAAGCATTGATAAAAGGAGACTGTTTTCAGAAACATGTTAATTTTTCCTCACCATTTTCCCCTAAGATGGAGAATTAATGTTCATTCTAAATTCAAGATTTTTCCCCACCTTAAACCCCAATAGTTTTTTTTTCTCCACTGTTTTCTCATCCTGTTTTACACAATGATACCGTGGCCTCCTCCCAGGGCTCAATGTCACTGCAGTATTCAGATACTATTGTCTCTGGATGACAGTGCTGCTTTGATCTGTCACTGAAGGTAAGCACGTAAGATGTTTATTATTGTAAGCAGTGATACTTGCAGCCTTTCAGGGTAAGACATATATCTTCATTCAGTGTAACAACCAAAGCAGGGCATCATGATCACCCTGCTTTATTGTCACAGTCGCTATTTCTCTTCACTTCTCCACTTCACATTTCCTTGTAGACGTTCCTCAAGTGAGAACAGTGGTACAACAGTGGGAAACTTCCCTCCTTCCCTTAGATCTGAATTTTGCCGAGTAGAAGTTGCTGACTTTGCAGATAAGACCTTATCTGTGTTTTAAATCACTTGATATGCTGATGGCATATATGCTGACTATGACAGTAGGACCTGTTTTCTCTTCTCATTTCATTATAGCTGAAACACTGGAAAATTACCCAGTATCTTCACTGGTGTCTTCTGCTGATCCACTTTTCATGCTGTTTGTGAAAGACAGTGGGAAAAATATTTTGTGGGATAAGCAAGCTGGTAACACAAAAGATGTCTTCTCTTATAGCTTGGAGATGATGAAATTAGGAGACTTTTACATGCAATAAACACTGAGGTAAGAGTGCTGTAATGTAATACAAACTTCAGTCATTTTGTGAAGGTGGTATGTCTGATTCTTGTCTTCTGTAGATGTGTGGAAGCCAAGATGTTACTGAAATGAGGAGAAAATTGCATCTGATATGAAATGTTTTATAGTTTTCCTATTATCTCAGAAAAATAACAGTAAATTTGACTATGATCCAAAACCTGTTAGAGTCGATAGCATTTCTCTCACCTTTGGTGGGCTTTGAATTGTACTCTGTTAATGAAGCCTTTAAATAATACTAAAAAGATTTAAAATGCTCATTTCTCAAAAGCACATTTGATTATAGACAAATAATTTTATGACTGCTTGCTTTTGCATAAAGAAATTAATGCAAGGGTAGCTTTTCTCATTAGTTTTACTAAGGGTGTTAATTCTGTATATTCATAATAATTCTCYGTCTTTTAGTTCTTGTTATTTATGGTAATTTCTTCCTCACTTCAGAGAGTGTATGACTGTATAATATTACCACACTGAATGCTGGCAGGTATCAAGGGGCTGCCAGTGAAGAGGAGTTATGAAAGGCCATGAAATTAAATGATGTGACATTGTTATTATTCATCAAACCAGTTTTCACTGGGGAAACATAACGTTWCGTCCTGGAATTTTGGTTGGAGAATGAAAGCAATTCCATCCTTTTATTTTAAACCAGGAATGGTTTTGAATTACAATTATACACATACAGATACTATATAGAAAAACAGATATTTTTAAAGACTTTGACAGCGTTCGTGCTGTCACACTGCTCAGCTAAACTGTATAAGTGATAGTCTAATTAGCAGACTGCACTAGGCCACTTACATCAATTGACATTTATTAGCTGCGAGATGGCAGGAGAGACACACGAAGCTTTCTGCCTCGGGGGGAATTAACCAGCCGTGGTCTCTATCCAGACAGAAGAGGAAAAGCAAAGCAAAAGGGAAGAACTGGTTGTGGTGGTTGCTTTTGAATGCTTTGATCAAATGTTCAGGCTCTCGATGGGTGTAGCATGAAAGCCTCATAGGTCTTTTATTTTGCTGCGTACCAAGCATCATGTTGGGAAACTGCACAGAAGTTATATCTTAAAGGCTCATCTCATGAAGAGGAAGAGTCCTTAGGAATCTGTAAGGGGGAAAACTTATTGTTTTTCTTCAGCATGGCAGCTTAAATGCCTTTCCATTAARTAATATGTGGAACTGTGAGAGTTGTGGTTAGCTGATTCAGTGAACAAGCCTAATTCTAATCTCACTTTTGCTTGTCCTTTATAATTGTCCAGTACATGGAAGAAATCAGCCTCTGTGGTTCTGTCCTGCGTTCAGTCATTTAGAGAGAAAGAACACAAAGAATGGGGAAAAGAGACAGGAAAAGTAGTTACATTTTTTCCTCCTTCCCTCAAAATAATACACTTATGGATTTCATGTAATTTAGCTTGTACTTTCCTGATCTTCCTGCAGCTAGTTCTCTATAATGTTACCCAGAGTCTCTGTGATTACAAATGCAAGTTGGGCTCTATTCCCTTCTTGAATTACTGATTAGATGTTGATTTTTTAGTAAAGTGGAAATTATTAACCTCTGATGTTGACAGATCTTAGTCCACAGTTTGGCTAGATACACAGTAAAATTTTCTTTCACTGTGTTTGATCAGTTCACATTAGTGCCTTGAAACAATCAATATCACACTGTGTTTAGAATTATCCTTTAAGGGACACAAAGTAGTCAGGTGGAAAAAAAATCTCAAGAGACCAGCATGAAACTAATAAGATTTGCTAATAGCTTTTGCTTTCGTAATTTGAAGGTAAACCAAAGAGTAGACTCTGGATAGCCAGACTCTTAATTGGATATTGATCTAAACAAATATTCTCTTTCTAAGTACCTGTTTAAATCAGTTATCATTATTTGTTAGGACACGTTATATTTATCCTTATTTCTGTAAAGTGGTCTTGGTGCTACAAGTTATATAAAGATGCATTAGCARTACACTTTTAATAGACCTATTAAATTCACTTTACTTTGATTTATTCACTGTTTGAGTATACGATAAATATTCTACCCAGCTACAAAGAGAGAAAACATTGAAAATAATGTAATTATCACCATTTATGCTACTGTTTATTTGGTTAATTTGTGTGGAGCTGTGGTTCATGGAGCACTTATGTTGTATCCATTTTTAAACTTGCCTTATGTGAGGCTCAGTACCCTTCATTTGTACTGAAACGTCCTGCTTTAGTTGCTGTTTTTTTGTCTGTTTCTGCAACTGCTTGTTTGGATTTTTGTTTTTCACTATTCCAGTAATAGAACACAGCATTATTCCAGTTTTACATCATTACTTTCTCAGACAGATTCCTGTCAAGTTAAATCACTACAGTTTTCCAGGCAGAGCTGTTTAAAACAGACAGAACTTAGCAGTCTTACCAATGATTTTTTTTCCCTTTGCCAAGTGTCTTGACGATTAAAAAAAAATGGGAGGGAGAATTAAATACATAATTGTAATTCCTACAAGATTTGGGGARTATGATGGCCAGCTTTTATGTTCCTTATCTTGTGTAAATACTTAGTACAGAAACATATATTTTTTTTATGATAAAGTAATGTAAAAGTATAGTAGATGCAGGTATAATTGATAGAACTGTGAAACTAAATATTTTCCCTGCTAAAGACGGGGAAAATATGAAGTCTTCAGGRTTGACTTAAGAGGAGGATAACTGTTGGAGGTGAGCACTCAGCTGAACAAATAAATGAGATATTGTAGGTAAGCGATTATCTGTCTTTGACAACTTACTCTGAAAGAGGCAGGGACAGGTCATATGAATACACAGGATACATGAGTATCATACGATAGATAAATTGGCTTGGTTTGAATAGATAAAACAGCACTGGTCATTCAATTCCTTTAAGGCAACTCTGTGTTTCATCATTCGTTTTCTAGGAAATGTAGGGAGTGACACCTAGGAAGACTCCTTGGCACATGGTAGATCTATGGGGCTTCATCTTGTTCTGATATAGAAGATCTGATTCAGGTGATGATCAGTGTCTTATGCAAGATCATTTATAAAGGCATATTTTTTTTTTCTCTGAATGACCAGAACAATAATTCAAAGAATGAAAAGCAACTTCAAAAGTACTCACTTGCTTAGTACTTCTGTTTATGGCTAATGTCATTCCCCAAAAGTTATGTTTATTTCATATTTTTAATTTAATAAGTCTATTATCTGTTCTGATTATTTTAATTCTTCTGAAAGAATTTAAGACATAAGTGCATCTCTGGAATATGCCCATATTTTGCATAATTTTTTTGTGCGTGTCCTGACTTCATAGGCTTCTTATAACAGTATTAAAGTATGACTGTTCTGATTGTCTCATTCCGTAAAAAAAATACARACTAAATATTCATATCACTGATAGATGTGTATGATAAATCTTACAATCTTAAATCTTACAATATTAAATGTGTTCCTTAGTTTAATTCCTTCAGTACAGCATTAAAATTCATGAACATCAGTGTAAACAAAAAGCTTTATTTCATCATTCATTAAAAATGACAAAATGCATCCCAAACAGCTCAAAATCTCATATGACATTAGATTTTTTTAACACACACACACACATCTACACTTAACATTACACAAGTGTGTTCAGGTTCTATACACAAATATTTCTGTTTTTTTAAGCACAGAGGTCAGTTAGGATACTGGAATTGCTACTATTCATAAGTAAAATAAWATGTAAAGGTAAGTGAGAGGTAATTAATTTAGTTAATAAATACATTTATTAATCTATTACGTTTGACAGTTTAATTAGTGCAGATTATTTCTTTACATGAGGTAAGTCTTACATGCGCTTGCTTGTACCATTTGGAAATATTTTCCTGGTAGGTCAGCATGGTAATTTCTTATGCCCATGGTAAAAGATGCCTAATACAATTTGTTGTTGATTCTAACTGGTTTTATCTGGTGCATAAGTACATAAGTTTGATTAYGGTTGCCTGCCTGACATCTAATACAGTGTGCTCAGGAGTACTAAAAATAACTGCTCTGTCTCTCAGTTGGCATTTGCTTTAGAAGCAAACAAAGCAATGAGGATGGGAATTAAAATGCTACCAGTGGTACTGGCAGCAGGAATCAGAAGTTTTGTTTTTTGGATTGTGGATCAYGTGTATCCCTGTGGTCCTGATGCTTTTCTCTCTAGGGGCATATGTTCTTGCAGATACTTAGTTAATTCCTTTTCACTTTGCTAAGGTGTTCCAAGTCAATGGACATAAATCAAACTGGTCTGGATGTTCCTAGGCAGGAAGAAAGTAAGGTAAAGAAATAAGGGTACTTTGCTTTTGTGGATGGCCTACACCAAGAATTTTAATTCTGGGTTTCAGGTGCTCTAATGTTTCAGTGCTGTATTTCTAGGTGCACTGCCTAAACTCTCTGTTCTGACAGACCTTCACGGCAGAGATAAGGAAAAGTAGTAGTGAAATCTGTGGCWCTGGCTGGATGAAAAAACTAGCCTGAGAAGAGAATAGCTTCTGACTTTTGTTATGGCCAAGAGGAAATATCAGGTTGTCTTTAATAATCCCAATCAACATGAGTGGAAGAATAAAGGTTCTGGTCACAGAAACAGGAGTTTGTTCCCATTTTAAGGTAGAGGGAAAGAGGTAGCATTGAGTGCTTGTGAATATCCCTTTCGTAGTCTGTCAAGGTTTTCCTTTTCAGAGTGAGAAAATATTTTTATTTATCTTTTTTATTTGTGTTTTTCTTTTATGTGTGCTTCCGAACTATTCTCTCCCCTGAAACACAGCTCCAGTTGTATTTCCAAGCCATGAATCCGGACCAGAACTTTAATTTAGAAACAAATGTAGTGAGCCACAATTCATATTTAAGACCCCTTCCAGAAAATAGGTCATAGTTCTGCAAGACATGAATGTGTGATACGAATTTTCTTTTTCCCCATGGTCCAAAATACTACCACTGACTGGGTTCATGCTCTCCCCGGAATTTTTATTATAT